CAATGGGCTTTGTGAGTGTAGGAGTGTGCAGGACTACAGCCTCTTGCCAGTGATTTCTGTGCTGTGCAACCTAATTCCATTGCAGGTCGGATTGCAATGTGGCGAAGAATCGTCCAATCAGGTTCCAGCTGGCAAGATTCTACTAGAAATCCCTTTTTTTAGATGAAGCTTGAGAGTCGGGGGGTCAAATGAAAAAAAAGGGGGTTTACCATCAATTCCACTCCTTGTGACACCCGTACATATTCCAATCAACTTCCTGCCTGAGGGTACATAACACGTCGCCATACAGGGGATAGGTGTAATATTTGATGTTGTTATGCACACTCGGGAGCCGGGAGACGTGTTCTCACACATACGGGGGTCACGAGTCCGTGGGAGGTGTCCAGATATAGTACACTGGGGGTCATCTTCTATAATCTGCCCCATCCAGGGGCAGCGCCCGGGCTCCAGATGGGCACATGGCACCGGACTGTCAGATTTTCCACTGCAGGTTACTCATCGGGAAACCATCCATGTGACAAGTAGAAGTGGCGTGCGGTGGCTAAAGGCTTCCCCCGGATACACGTGTGACTGTTTCTTTAATTCCTCCAAGGAACGCAACCCCCCCCCCCCCCCCCACAGCCACCCGCACCCCTCACCTATAGGGGCAGCCACATGTGGTGAAACTACAAATCCCATGATGCATCTGTCTCCGGGAGTCATGTCTGTGGCTGTGAGACTGTTGCAATGCCTCATGGGACTTGTAGTTCCACCACAGCTGGAGGGGCGGAGTTTCGCCCTGATCTAATAATTACACGTCGGGCTGCGGCTGGCAGACACTGAGCGGCGTTTCATTAGTAAGCCGCAGATGGAGAAAGTGTCTCACCCTGAAGTCGTCCCTGAAGATATGGACGGCCATGAGACTACAGAGCTCATCGGGGAGGAGGAGGCCCCCATCATCCCTTAAAGGGGACCCGTCCTGGAAAGAATGATGAATCCCAGGCGTGTCTGTGAATGGGATGGAAGGCGGGAAATCCCGGAGAGGAAGGAGACCGATACATTGCATCTCGTTATCGCTACAATCTTATGGATTGTATCTGTCACTTTGTACATGGCCACGGAGGATGGCGGCGCTACAGTGTAATCAAATCCGAGCTGGAGTTATAATTGTGCTCTGGATGGAGACGCGCGGGGGAGTTGGGGCTCATTCCTCCACGGAGCTACACGGCACAACCAGTGGCGTCACAAGGGGGGTGCGGCCCACACCCAGGTGACACCATTGGAGGGGTGACACCAAAATGACTGACAGTCATTTTGGTGTCACCCCCCTCTAAAAAGTCAGGCACTTGATCATGGACCGAGAGATGTAGGAGTGTGCAGGACTACAGCCTCTTGCCAGTGATTTCTGTGCTGTGCAACCTAATTCCATTGCAGGTCGGATTGCAATGTGGCGAAGAATCGTCCAATCAGGTTCCAGCTGGCAAGATTCTACTAGAAATCCCTTTTTTTAGATGAAGCTTGAGAGTCGGGGGGTCAAATGAAAAAAAAGGGGGTTTACCATCAATTCCACTCCTTGTGACACCCGTACATATTCCAATCAACTTCCTGCCTGAGGGTACATAACACGTCGCCATACAGGGGATAGGTGTAATATTTGATGTTGTTATGCACACTCGGGAGCCGGGAGACGTGTTCTCACACATACGGGGGTCACGAGTCCGTGGGAGGTGTCCAGATATAGTACACTGGGGGTAATCTTCTATAATCTGCCCCATCCAGGGGCAGCGCCCGGGCTCCAGATGGGCACATGGCACCGGACTGTCAGATTTTCCACTGCAGGTTACTCATCGGGAAACCATCCATGTGACAAGTAGAAGTGGCGTGCGGTGGCTAAAGGCTTCCCCCGGATACACGTGTGACTGTTTCTTTAATTCCTCCAAG